CTCCTTCTGACCGAACTGCCTCTACACAGCCTAAAAAGGCGCGTTCGAATAGAGCCTCCCTTCCTGTGCTTCCTTCAATGTGCGGGCAGAAATACAGTGGGAATCCCACGCCTACCGTGCGTATAGCAACCACACGCGGTTAAAACGTTCTGCAGCAGATCATGGTACCAAACACAAGTACCACTGTGCCCCGGTCAATGATGCACAACACTAGCCATAGTCAAACGTAATAGTATACTCGCAGCAGCGTATAGTGGCAGTACACTGTTGCCCACAACAAAACACAATCGTTATCCGCAGCAACAAAGTACAGCAGCCAGTCGGTAACTCAGCTCAGCTTATCAAGTGGAATAAACCATGATTCGAGGTGCATTGGCCATGACTCCTGAGCATAGGCTGAAGCCTAATCCGCACGGCCTGTAACCATCATCAGGCTGTTACCGTGGATAGTTCTACACACGGGGGAGTCCCCCACTTCCTCAACTCACAACCCGGGTGCGTGGCCCGTCCGCCTATTTGATGGCACCAACAACAGCCGCTCACTTCAATTCTCTTCCTCTGCCGAAACTCTCCCCTTTTTACACTACCGCTCTGTTTCCTCTTATGTGCGCCTAGTCGTACATCGAGATTCGACACAAAAGTCCCGATCGGCAGATAAGTCCTGACTGGCAGGTAAGCCTCCTTTGGTATCTCTCCTCTTTCTCTCTCTCTCTCTCTCTCTCTCTCTCTCTCTCTCTCTCGTATACGTGCGTCACTGCGCACATTTACTCCTCCGCCACACCTGTAACGTGTCGTGTATCAGGTCGCAGAGAAGGCCAGATACATACATGTCCGAAGGGAGAGGCCCAGTACAAGCACGACTACGAGAATCGGGCAGCGACCCCCGAGTGCTTGGCGATGAAAGCGACGATGAGCCTAGGCGCCCTGCTACTCGCCAAATGTGCGAAGTGAGAATGAATCTTCCGCTAGGACGTGGACATATACACCGCTGTCCAGCCACATGCAGAGGGAGTTAGAGAGGAGCTACTTCCATCGATAGGTTCGGCGACGCATCGGCTCACAGGTAAGTCTTCAACACGCGGCCGCCCTCCCGCTACTTCCACCGATATAACGAGCAAAAATTGAATGTATCTACTGCTGAAGTATGGTCCTATACATCCAGCCCCACTTCGAGGTAAATACTCCCCTGCTCCCACACAACCCCTTTTCCTTCTAACTCCCATCCTACTAACTTACTCCTCAAACTACTGCTATCAATCAGCTCGCCCGGGTTGAAAACCTCGGGTTCGACTCTTGGCACGCCTGAATCCCCTCAGAAACGGGCGGGAACGGGCTTCTTTCTCCTCTTTTCTTCCGTCCGCCATACCTGTGCGCACCCATCCCTCTCTCTAACTCTATATCTCCTAACTAGTCCTTGAACTAACTCTATTACTGGACTCGCCCTCCTTAGACACGACGGATTCGGCTCTCACTCTGTCGAAGTCGGTTACGAATCGCGCAACCTCCTACACCAATACTAACCAATCCACTGACTCATGACTGAAACTGACAACGCTACTGTGTTCGCGATAGCCAATAACCCCTGTGTAGCATTTTGAATCACTCGATTCCATTGGTAATCGAGTGGGTTATGCAACATTACCTCGGCCATACCCAGTCTTCTTCCTGAATGCACCATGCCTAGTATGTGGTCCATGTACACTCCGCCCCCCGTCTTCACTTATCGTTCGTTCATCGCTCCCCTTTCTTCCCATTCGCAGCTACGCAGCGCTAGGTAGCCGCAGTAACCCGGCCCGATCTCTCAGCAATCTTGGCTACTCCGCTTCTCCTTCTCTCTACGCTGGCTATCTCCAGTGTCCTCCCTTTTCGACTATATCCGGTGCGAATTCGCGCCCGTGTCCATTCCTTCCTTCCTTCGATTTCACAACTTTGTCCCACTCTCCTTGGCCCGCCAGCACTTCGAACAGTAGGCCGACCCGACGACTCCCCCTTCCTATAGAAGACTACATGGGGAATCGTCCGCCTGATGGTTTTGAGCCCTTTGCCCCTACGCCCGAGTCCAACGAGTGGAACGCGCAGCAGATACCGTTGCCGACCCACCGATAGGTGTTTTGTCTGATACAGGCCACCCGATGCTAATCCTGGAAGCCGAAATCCCCCAAACAGTGTGTAACGACTCCCCTGCCGAAATGATTCACCCGACAATGGGTGGTGCTATAGCCTACAGCCCGTGCCATCGTACCAGCCGCTCCTATACGGTACCCATTGGGAGACGCAGACCCGCTGCGTGTGCCCGCCGATGCAAGGTAGATGAGGTGGGGTCCAGTGCAGGTTTTGGTGGCAGTAGCAAGGCCCGATTGAGAACTTCAGAGGCCAAAATGGGGGCGGGGTCTGTTTGATCCTGCCTTGAGCCATCCTGTCGCATAGTCAAAACTGCGGCAGCCTCCCACCTGTGCCCCCTAGCCCCGCCTCGCCCAATCATAACTCGCCATGTTCCAGACCCCGACGGGCATGCTCACACTCAAACCTTCTCACTGCAGATTGTGGCTGGTGGGCGGTACACCGCGACAGTTGGCCCCACCACTTCCACGCACATTGACCTCCTCGGTCCGAGTTTCAAGACAGGCAGGATAGAGGAATTTCGTCGGCATGCAGGACACGCGAGGACCGTAGGTCAACGAATGAAGGCGCGCGCTCAAAGTCCTCGGCCGTCGTGGCGGCCTTTAAATCCGGCGTCTTGTCCGAGTCAAAGAACGTTGGAGCATAAACATAAGAATAAAATAACATTGAATAATAAAACAATTTAGAAATTTTTAATCTTCAGAAGACGACGGACGAGAAAAGGGGAACCGCTAGCATCATTCTGACACCGTCAACAACAAGGCCAAAGGGGATAGCCTCCTCGCGCCCTCAACCCTTCGATCCGCTCACGCTACTCTTATATCCTGCATCACCGCCGCTCAATCTCGATCCCTGAATGTCATCGGTGAAGGTCCGACACTGTGACCAATAGTGCTAGGCCCAAGACTGGGTCTAACTGACGGACATCTAAATAAGCGAATACTGCGTGACGCGCAGATCTACCGGAACGTTTTTCAAAATCACCTTGTTGTCGACGTCGTCCTTCGCACGTATGCACAAGTCACAGGCAAGTGCACCAATCAGTCAAAGTAAATCACAGACGCAGCCGCGCCTCGCGCGGAATACTTAACCTTTAAACCAAACTTATTTTCAGTCACCCGCAAAAACCAGGGCAGATACCCTTGTAAGGGTATTCGCACCGACACCGTGGAAAGGAACCGGACTGACGCTCCCCAGAATGGATATGGAGCCAGGACCATAAGGACCTGTTTCAACTTTTTAAAAAAATAAAAAAAATAAAAAATAAAAATGGAATGATAAAAAGAAGATTACGATAGATCCTGCTCAAGGATGACATGCATGAATTGAGAAATGGTTCCAGCCGTAATGGGTAGAGGCATCTGTGTGCGTACTATGCATGTAAGGGACATGGGACCCAGTTTCCAGCCATTATAATAACAAGGCAATGCCCGCCATGGCTCACACGCAGCGGAGACCTGCCGCTCCTGCTCCCCCTTGCTGCTTACCGTTGTCTGCCACCTGCGCTCTTTCCTGTTCCTGTATGTGCCTCCACGCCGGCCATCTCTCCCTGCTCTGCTGTGTCCTCCTCCCGCATGTCCGTTTTTTTTTTTTGTTCCCTGCGTGTACGTCTATTCGGGCGGCAGGATGAGGGACGGACCACACTCTGTGGATGGGATCCTACTAACAGGCAGATTCCCACTGTGTAAAGGGCGGGGGGGAATGGACACAGCCCCCAGCCCCCCTCTCCAACAGGAAAAAAAGCATAGTCCACGGAGCCTTCTGTGGGCCTCGCTCCGCGACTCACCAAATGTGCAAAATGAGAATGAATCTTCACCCAGAATATGCGAAGATACTGCTTTTTCTCTTTTGTGCATGAGGTCAGTAGTGGAGTGGGGCCCTATGTTCTCGTTCCCTTCTAGTGTCGAAATAGGCATACTATGGGCCCCGCTCCACTACTCTGCCAATGTGCACGATGGGAATGAATCTTACACTAGGACATGGAAAGATACACCACCATATTTTTCATCTTTTGTGCATGTGGTGAGCAGTTGAGCAAGGGCCCCTACTCACCATTTGTCTTTTGTGCATGCAGTCAGGCCCGCTAGCTGTGGCATCGCGTCGCCCTTCCTCAGAAAAAGACAAAACGTAAACGGATCTAGTTAATCTACTGAAAAAATTTAAAAAAATAAAACAACGAATCTAGTTTTTTTTTTTGTCTTTTGCGCACGTTGTGAGAAGTGGAGCGAGGCCCTAAGAGTACAACTGTGAGATAGGGCTCGCTCCAGTACTCACCAAATGGGGCAAAGTTCAAATGAATCTTCCGCAAGAACATCAAAAGATACACTGCCATATTTTTGTCGTTTGTGCATGTGGTGAGGCGTGGTGGCTGTGGCATTGGATCGCCCCTTCGAATCTACTGAAAAAAAAAGCCAACAACGAATCTACCGAAAAAAACAAATGGACGAATCTACTGAAAAAAGCCACTGTACACGTCACTGCACTGTGAACTTGTATTCGAACATGCCCCGCCCGTGCCAATCGGAAACAACAGCGACTGAGGGCACAGTTTGTGACACAGGGCCGTGGGCCCAGGAGGGAATGACCGTTTTCCCAACAGCAGTAAATGGGCCTCGACGGGAGCGTCAGGCAAGACCCGCACTACGCTTTAAGAGTAAGGGAAGAGATTGTATTTTGGGGGAAAAAAGGGAAAAATAAAGCATAGAAAAGAGAGGAAATAACTTATTTTCCCCTTAATCTTGGTTTCAGGTTGCTCAAGCTTTGCTTTTCCTGCATACCAGTCAACAGGAACCCATCATCCACCGTGACCTCAAGCCTGCCGACATCCTACTTGACAATAAGTTTGTCCGCTGGCCTGGCGTTCATGATCTTGGTTTCAGGTTGCTCAAGCTTTGCTTTTTCTGCATACCAGTCAACAGGGACCCATCATCCACCGTGACCTCAAGCCTGCCAACATCCTACTTGACAATAAGTTTGTCAGCAAACTAAGTGACGTTGGCCTGGCGTTCATAGCTGAGCAGCTGAAGACAGGTATGATTATGTGCTCTGATCCACCAGGTTACGTTAATGAATATGTGGCATATGTGGACATGTTTGCATTGTTTCTTCTCTACTCCCTAAGTTTTTGATGGGATGTATCCATAGTTGGCCAGTTGCCTCTGTCAGAGTGCAGCTGTAAAAAATCTTCTCCGTCTTCGGCATCGGGAAGTTCTCCTCCAATCGCCTTCTCTCTCTCTCTCTCTCTCTCTCTCTCTCTCTCTCTCTCTCTCTCTCTCTCTCTCTCTCTCTCTCTCTCTTACACACACACACACACACACGGGCAGCTGCCGCTCAATGACAATCAACGTGGACAGCCTTGTATGTGCGAGGCATAGTAAAAGAGGAGCTGTTGCCCCAAAGAAACCCCAACTAAACACAATTCAAAATGGTTCTATTATGATTCATGTTGCTGGCTAAGGACGTGAATTCTTTAATTGTTGGGCTGGCCCAACTTAAATCTACTCGTCAGGGTGGAATAGGGGCTGTTGTGGTGGAAACTTACAAAACACACACACACATAGACACACACACACATATGTGCCATTCTACAGCAGTCTGTTCCAGCGGTGAGTATTTAGAATTCTGTGAAGTTCATCATATGCATCTCCCCTCCTCCCCCTACCCCACACACCGATGGAACTCCGCCTTCTATCCCTTTCCCTCCACCCTCCCCTTTTGTGCTACTAGCAAAGACATACGAATGAGCATCGTTAAGAGATCAGAAGTGAAGTGAGCAGGAGTATGAAGACGAATGACAGACTCAAAGACTTGAGTATAAGTTGAAGATCTGAAGTGAACAGGAGTATGAAGATCTGAAGAGAAACGCACGGGAGCATACCTTCCCTTTTACTCTGCCTCCTGTTATAACTAAAAGGGCCTTTACCCGATATAGGCCTCAGGCCTTGTAAAAATAAAGCAGCACGGGCCTTGAAAAAGTAAAGCATTGTGAAAAGGTATCTCGTCAGAGCTCAGAAACGTGAAAGCAGGTCAAAGGTCAAGTTCTCTATCAACAGGCATATTTAAAACGAAGGCAAAGGGCATTGTCAAAAGACTTACCTGTTCACCAGGAGATGTGTATGTCATGTCTGTTTGGGTAAGGGTGTGTCTGTACGTGCAGGCAGTGTGTCTGTTCGTGCCAAGTAAAGTGTCTGTTCAAGCAGTAAATGTGTCTGTTCGTTGAGAGTTGTGCCTGTCCGAAAGTAAAGTCAATAGGCACAGTCCCAGTTCTGGTCTAAGTCCAGGGGTCAGTCCAGATCCAGACTTTCAAGTCCAAATTCAGGCCGGGAGGCCTCAG